TCCGTTTTCTATATATATTGAAGAACAAGGATTCTTGTTAACAAAACAAATACTTTTTTGTTAAAACTTCCTTATTAACTATCTCTAATAAATTGGAATTTTATAGTTTAAAACAAAGATTATTTAAATTAATGAAGATGATTGGAAAAGGTAAGGTGACAATGAGGAAAAAGCGAAAAGCCAGTATGAACTTGTAGCACTTGGAAGGGAAATCAGGAGAGGATAGGAACTGGCATAGGAGAGGATAGGAGGACTGAGTGAAGGAAGAGTGCCACACACACCACTCGGACCATCGGGTATCGAACGCCAACCATGCAGGCAGCAACGCTGTGGCTTTGCCGGCCAGTCAAAGGTACTGATGCCGCAATGTTTTGTTGAAAGGGCAAAACAAAGTAAATGGAGTTCAGAGAGAGAGAGAGAGAGAGAGAGGAGAGAGAGAGAGAGAGAGAGAGAGAGAGAGAGAGAGAGAGAGAGAGAGAGAGAGAGAGAGAGAGAGAGAGAAGAAATACAACGTAGAAGCAAGTATTATAAGCAAGCAAAATAAGTAATATAAGGAAGCAATGCAAGCAGGCAGTATAAGTAATCAAGAGGTCTGACCTCCAGAAGAATAAGGAGGGAGGCAAGACCCAGCTCCTGTTGGGAACTGGAACAAGCAAAGACAATCCCTGTCTGTGCCTATGTATTTGTTATGTCAGTGTGTTTGTTACAGCGGTATATTTGATAGTGGTTTGCTCTTTATTAGTGACTTGTTGTCTTTGTTAGTGGCTATTTCTGTCTTTGTTAGTGGCTATTTCTGTCTTTGTTAGTGGCTATTTCTGTCCTTGTAGTGCCTGGCTCTGTCTTTGCTACCGATATTATTATTATTATTATTATATATATATATATATATATATATATATATATATATATAATATATATATATATATATATATATATATATATATATATACACTTTTTACTCCTTTTCTCACACTTTATCTCCTTCTATGACACTTTTTTATTTTTGTGTTCTCCTGCTCTGTGTCTTTTTGTGCTTCTCTCTCTGTCTCTCTCTGTCTCTCTCTCTCTTTGAAGTTTCACTTATTCTTATTTCCTCTCTTTCAGAAAAGGGAGAATGATCGAAATGGTTAAACGGTGAATTGCGATCTCTCTCTTTCACTCTATTATATATTTGCCTCTTCCTCCTTTCTGTGTTACTCTTTGGTTTTATTCGTTTTCCGAATAAACAAACTTTTATTCGTTTGTTTTATTAATTACTTCTTCTTCGATTGTTTTATCTGTTATTAGTGTATCTGTTTCGTTCTTGTTTCACTTCTATTCCTTATTCTTGTGGTTGCTTTATCCGTTATTCTTGTGTGTATTCTCTCTCTCCTGTTCCTTGTGACCTTTACACCTGCTCTGTCCTTTATTATTGCTCTGTCCCTTGGCTCTATTGCTCTATTCCTGTTTCCTTCTCTCTCTCATCTCCCCCTATTTATCACTAATTATCCTCCTTTCGATTTCCACTTTTATACCATCGTTAAATTGTTTTCCCTTCTCTCTTCTTTCCTGCCCGTCTATCTTCTTCTCCTTCTCCTCCTCTAGATTCGTACATTTCTGTTTTCGTCTCTTTCTCTCTCTCTGCATTCCTCTTTCCCTATTTTGTCCACCATCCTTCACACTTTTCTTTCTCTCTGTCTCCGTTTTGCTCTCTTTCCTCTCCTTATCAGCCTTCTCTTCTTGTCTCTCTCTCTCTCTTCCTCTCTCCCGCCTCCCTGAGAGAGAGCGAGCCCAGAGCCCTCTACCTCACAGGGTGAGAAATAAATCATCAATATATAACGTGGGTAAGTTGGCTCGCCGCCGCCGCCCCCTCCTCTCTCTCTCTCTCTCTCTCTTTTCTTCCTCTTTTTCGCGTCTTATCTCTTTATTCCGTCCCTCTTTTCTCTCTCCTCTTTCCTGCCTCACTCTAAGTGAATTTCTCTCCTTGTTCTGGGTCCATCTCAGGACTTGCTTGAGCGGTTGTGCGTTTGTTCGTTGGGGGGGGGGGGGAGGATGGAAGTGTTATTTTGCGCCTCTGCGCGCCGACATCCCCCACGGGTCCGGCAGCCAATCAGCGCAGCGTTGACAACCTGGTGACAGTGCCCGCCGACCAATCGCGCGTCGGGTGACAAACAGGTGACATAACCCCAGGAATTTTATTTACTCGTGATTATTTGAACCACTTTTTAGGCACTTTCGGTGCGTAAATATGATTCACGCGGGGCGTAGATGCGTTTACTCAATCATGGCGTACTGTGAGGCGAGAGTTACCGCCCAGGGACTAGGGAAATAGTAATGCAATAATTGGAGAATGGCCAAGGACTGTCACCAGGTAGGGAGGTGACAAATATGGCAGCCAATGGGCGCCAAGTTCCCGCGTCAGATGTGAACTGTAATATTGCTTATATTTTCGCTTGCGGCGGCGGCCAGAATACATTAAAACGAAAACGAATTGCTAAGATTGCAGACGAAAAAATAATCTTTGGGAAGAATCTTGGAAGGAAAGGTCCCTCCTTCTTGATATTGGGCGAGGTGGCCTGCAGCCAATGGGGGTCGAGAATGGGACTGCGACAGACGACACCGACCAATGAGCGTCCAGGCGACACTCAGGTGACACTCCAGACCCGGAAAGGCGATGTCGTTGGTTAAAAAGACGAGTTTCACGTTTGCAATTTAACTTTCCGTGATGGGAGAGAGATTGGGGGTGATATTTTTGTCGCCGAGGCTTGCCGAGGGCGGTGGGAGGAGGGCCGGTGCTGTCACTGGCGCCCGGCCCTTTGTTCCAGCCTTGGATTTTTCTCGGGTCGCATTTCCTGGGAGTCAGAACCTCGTTGCACCGAGGGAAAATTTTGGCACCCCGGCCCCCACTCCCGGGGAAAAAACGGGGGCGGCTGGTCGGGACATGCGCATGACTGCCAGACTGGCTGGACTGGTGACACTCTTCTCACTCATTTGTCCACACTAAGGCGAGGCCCCGCAGGTGTCCGGGCCGCCCCGCCTCTGCATTGTGGCCTCGGACAAAGCGACATAAAGGGTCAAAAGACCCGCGGAAGGTGGTGACGTAGGGAGAGTTTTGTAGGACTCGGGTGGCGGCTGGCAACTCCCACCAGCGTCGGCTGCGCCAATGCCGCTCAATATCTCGCTGGTGTTCGGTTGCGTGCATGATCCCGCGGGTACAACTTCGGATGGTCACACGCGTTCGTTTACCTTCCCCAGGCACGTGCTAGGCACTCTATGATGACTACGCCGTCTGAACTCGTCGGCATCGCTTCCTGGCAGAGCTTGGCTGGCTCCTAGCAGCCAGGGAGAGGATCAGAGAGTGAGTGAGAGACGTGCGGACAGAAGTCATGAGGGGTCGCTCACGACCGAACACACGTGGGCCACCCGCCTGGAAACGTCCTTTGCTGTCTCAACGGACGCACAAGAAAACTCAGGAGGCTGGTAGCAGGGGGGCCAAGGCTGGGCCACACCACACCACCTGGCCACCCAACCACCCTCCCACGCCCCCCCACACGTCGCCAAACAACCCAATTAACCTTCCTCGCCCCACCGTTCAAACACTCCATACTCCAAACCCCACAAAACCGACTCAAACTGGAATTCCAGCAGCTCCGAGGTCCTGATGAGTTGGGGAAGATCTTAGGCGTTGGTACTGCTGCCTGAGAAAACCCAAGAGGCTGGAAGGAGACCGAAATTGAAGACCAGAGGATAAGACAGCGCTACGCCACGGTTGGGACAAGGTCGACAGACCCGTCAAGTGGAGCAGGGACTCTGGTCTCTAGCGCCAGTCCTGGAAATTGTCCTCCGTAAGAATCGAGGCTCCTGCTAGCTAGTATCTCATTGGAGAGAGGACCATTTGTAAACGGCGGGCTTAAAGCGGCCTGCAATATTGCCTCCTCGCCGCGACACACAGCAACGGCCCTCGCCATTGCAACGCTTCTGCAACGCAAATTCATCCAGAAATCTAATGAGGGTTTTCGTCACCTGCGCCAGCAGACACATCAAGCAGACAGACACACACACACACACACACACACACACGGG